TGTGTGTGTGTGTGTGTGTGTATATGTATGTGTATATGTATGTATATATATATGTATGTATATATATCTGTATGTATATATATCTGTATGTATATATATATGTATATATTGACTGTCACTGTCGTTTTTTTTCTTCCTCCTCTGCTGCTGGAATATTTTAACCTCCTTCTTTAGTTGTGGTTCATGTCTTTGCCGACAGTTGACCCAGCCGGTTAGTGTCACACACACGTGTCTTAAGCAGTAAAAGGAGTTTGTCTGACATAATATGGGACATCACAAGAACAGGGCCCGTCAGAAGGAGAGGAGAGCGGGCTGAGCAGAGTTCATTAAAAAGTAATCTTATAATGTAGTGGCAGGCTTCGGCTGCTTTGCTGTATCAATGATTTAGGCCCAGCAGAAGGTCCTTAATGGATAGAGCCACCTCTCTGTGCAAGTTCAGTTGTTTCTGTCCACCTGGTATCAAGTGGCACACACACTCAGGCACACACAGAGGCTGTAAAGGAAAAATTGTTCTAAGTACTTAAGTGTGTATGCCCATTGTACAGATTGCATCACACACTCTCCCACTCAGACACTCCCCTGCTGGACATGAAGTTTTAAAGTGCCATAGGCTGGCTAAATTGAGAGCCTCATATCTGTTTGTCACCATCCACTATGCATGATCACACTCTGCGTTCACACTGTTTTATTTATCTGAACTAATGTTAAACTGTGACAAGGCAAGGGACAGAGTGCGGCTAAAAGGACAAAGCCTGTATACATGATGCTGTCTCTGCAGCCTGTACAGGGGAGTCAGGGATGAGTGTAAGTCATGTTTATCTCTGCTCAACGTTGTGCTCAGTCAGTCAGACCTGTTACTTAGCCTGTCACACAGTGTTGACACACATATGTGTCAAGTCTATGTGACTTTGTCTGATTTTACAGTTTACATTTTTCCGCATCATCACATAAAGGAAAAGTGAGTAACATGCAGCTGGATTTCATGAAATCATATATATTTTCTCATTGCAGTACAAGCTTGGTTGCTTCCATCTCTTTTTTTTAAGCCCCAACAGTGCAAGGAATTTTAAATTGTAATTTTATTTTTTTCATCCTGGTGTGTAATTAAAACTATAGTTAAACAAATTGATTATTGATTAACAGAAAATTGGGGGGAAATTGCAATTGTTCTGAGAATTCCTCTTTCCAGATATTTTATTAAAGCAAATATGACAAATTGTCTCTGATCCCTGCTTCTCAGGTTGGAAGATTTTCTGTGTTATATATTTGAAGATGTCAACTTAGCATCTCTGAATTCTTTTCTTGACACTAAAGCTTTATCAGTTAATCAAAAACATAATTCACAGATTAATCAATGATGAAATTAATAGTTATCAAAAGTGTCATTTTTTTATTTGGAAACCTTGATTTTATTTTTGTGTCAATTTGAATCTATTAAATTACATTTAGGACAATGTGACTTCATACATCTTGTAAAAATATTTTTGTTGCTACCCTATGAGTTGTATTTATGGTCATGCCGTCCTTGTTCACAATCATTCTTCAGTTAAGATATTGGTATAAATCACTCATCCAACGATTAAAATGTTGTATATTTGCTCCTTCACAAAGAACAGCAGCTATGGTTCGCTTGAATGTGGGTCAATTATATTGGATTACATTCATTGCAAGACAAAAAGTGTCAAAATATCCTGCACTATGGTCTAGTTATCCTCCGTCCATTCTTATGCTCACTTTCTTGAAAATAACACTATTAATGCATATTTCAGTCCAGTTTTGCAGCTTCAGGAAAATAAATATTGTGTTAATCTCTTCTGCCTTATTTTAATGAAACAATGTCTGGAATGTATTAAACATATGTTGGTACAGCAGAGGAGTTTATGAAGATTATTATTAATGTCTTCCAAGATAATTAATTTAAAAAAGAAAAAGTCTGACCTGTTAGCCTTTCCTTTTTTTACCTTACATCAATTTTTCAGATGCTGTTCTTTCAAAGCAGCTTACAATAAGTACATCCAGCCATGATAGGAAAAATAATAGCATATAAATATGCTTTTAGTCGTTTGTTTGAGATACAACAGTAAAACTTCATTGGAAAATATTTAATCTTTTTGAGGATGAGACTTAAGTGCTAACATCACATGTCAAAATTTAGTCTGAAAAGTTCAGTTCTTTGGGTCATATTGTAAATAAATTATGGTTGACTTGTAGTTACGTGATTTGTTTATGAGAGCAAACCTCAAACCTTATATCACCTTCTTTAACACCTACAGGGAATCACTTTAGCCTCTATAGACTGTACATACAGATACAGACACATGACAGCTCCCAAAAAAGTGAAACCGGATCATCTTGATCGCCCCCTGATGGCCTGCTCAACTATAGTCCTCCTCCATGTTAGCAGATGAGACATTGACCAAACTATAGTAAATACATCAAAGTAAATGTTGTATATATTGTTCTCAAAGATGGTTTCTGTGATTTTTTTGAAGTTCATATCACACTGATGTTTTTTCAAGTTTTCATTGTTCTGCTAAGTTTGCTAAAAAAAACTATGAAATTTCATGATTGACTCCTGAGACAGAATCATGATTGGCACAAGCATGTGCAGGAACTCGATACCGATGCCGGCACCAGTATCTGAGATATTTCATTTTCATTTTTGCACAATAGATAGATAGAAGATAGATATTGGTTTAAGTTTGACTACACTGTAAGTTTGACAAACTTAAATCGGACTTATTATTCCTCTCTGGCACAAGCACAGGATTATTTTGACCATGACACAGTTTCCCCCTCTATATTATCTGTTGGAGAGCAGTATTAGAGGATTGCACTGGCATTTCAGAGTGATTTAACCAGCGAGATTGACAGCATTACAATGAGGCTGTCATTATCTTCCCTCCTGTGGTATAATTGCATATAGTGTTGAACAAGCAGTCTCTCTCCCTCTCTCTCTCCCTCTCTCTGTCTGTCTCTCCTTATCTCCTGCATCCGTTAAACTCATGAGAGAATCCTACAGTTTTTTAGTGTGGCCATCTGTCAATACCACTCCATAAAGTGGAGTGGAGAAATGTGTGCATACATTGACTGTTGTAAGCCCTCAGCTGGCCTGTCTCCAGCTGTTTCTGAGGGCTCTGCTGTGGCTGGTTAGCCCAGGCCTTGAGCATCGCTCTCCAGCCCACCTTTGCACCCCCAATCAGGCAGCTGGAGGCACCTCCCTCTTCACTGCTGTGGAGTACCTTGTAACACTGTAATGAGTTAACTTTCAGAGTGATCTACATAATTTATTTCCTGCCCCCACAGGAGGGCACAGAAGCATTAATTAATATCAGGCCCTGGTATCTGCAACCATCCCAGTGTGGGATTCCTTCTGGCTCCTATTTTTTGACACCTATGGAATTCGATTCGCAACCAGAATGCAGTTTGTTGGACATTGATAAAAGATATTGCTTCCTGATGGCTTTGTACACAAATTGAGCTACTTTATATTTGTGTAGAGACAAATGTGAGAAAATCTGAACTGGTCACAGTTGTAGGCCAGATCTGACACTGCTAAACAAGTCGCCTCAGATCACAGGAGCTGTGATTAAACCTTAATGATACATGTCACAAAGTTACGTACTCTTATTTCGCCTGGAAGTGATATTCTCCACACTCATATACTACAGATGTGTTTGTGTAAGCTGATTTTTGATATGTGTTCACTCACCTTGCCCCCTCTGTTTGTGTGTTTTCCCCACAGAACTCAATACGGCACAATCTGTCTTTGAACAAGTGTTTTCTCAAAGTGCCTCGCTCCAAAGATGACCCTGGAAAGGTGAGACTATCTAACTTAATTAATTAGTGAACACAGAAGAATGCATGTAATTACAAAAACAAAATTCAAGTAGACGAATATGTTTAGTAACCACTGCTATAAATTCACTGTTACAACATCTTTTTATATTTTGGTGTGCATCATGCTATCTCCAGAAGAAAAAGGTTAACCTTTGAATGGCTGCCAGGACTCTGACAGTCTGGAAATGCATGGCATGCTTGTAATCTATTATAAACCTCCCACCCCCACAGAATTGCATTTCAAATGTAAGGATAGACAAGTTTTTTGGATCGGGACAGACAGCAGATATGGGTGAGGAGAGAGAATTCAAAGACTGCTAGAAGATTGGGCTGTAACAGGGTAGAGGTCTGGGCCATTTCCAGTATCTGGCATCCCTGAACTATTTACTCAAGGTGCTGAACCTACTTGATGAAAAGAAACCAGCCTCATTTGTTCTCTGCTCAGCTCTCTATCACCCATTTTTCTATTTTGAGAGAGAATGTATAGTCTATGTTAATTTGACATTTGAATCTCAGTAGGCGCACCTACAGTTGCTTTTTCAGCCTGATTTATTTTGCAAACTCTTGCGACATCAACCTGATAAGCAGCGTCCCCTGATCCACAGGGTAGTTCATGAAGTGGAGCCTATGGACCTATATTTAGTATTATGGTGTGCTTAGGTCTAACCATATGTAGCCTAACCCAGATTTCATCCGAGCACTGTCGGAGCATACGCTACATATGCTTAGGGAACTGCACAAATAATTACACACACACACACACACACACACACCGACACATGCATGAAGAGCTACGCCTAGCTGTGTAGAGGATGGGGACTGAATGCTAATTTCATGTTTTGCTGTAATCCTCTGATATTGACACTCCTGGGAGCTGCTCTACTAAATACAAAATAATCTATTGCTGTATGGATCCCATTCCAAATGCATGGCCAACATGCTCGCATCCTTAATGTTTAATTTGGAATTTTCCTCACTCCCTTCCCCCCCGAAGACAACTTCAAAGAAGCGCTAGCCGCTCTTGATATGTTGCATCAATATTGTAATGTGGCAGGAATATGAGAACTGCTGGTTGGATGAGATAGGAGAGTCTTGTCGCTCCCTGTCTGTCTCTCACTCTGAGATGGTGTAAGAGATGACAGTTGGTATTGTACATACACACATCCTGTCTACCTCCTAGGTAAATATGCAGCTTGTGAAGGCTACCGTCAATAATCTTAACTTAAATTGGTCGTATGTCTCCACCTGAAGTTGCCAGGTTAATCTGCATACTTTTTTGTCGTTGTCTTTGTTATATTTACACACAAAAGAGGAACTAGATGTATGAAAATGAGCTGCATCATTTATGGGAAGAGAACAGGTAGAGTATCTGTTATCATTTTTTTTTTTTTAATAAATCTTTACAGCAGTCTGTATTTTATGGCTACAGAGCATATTGTGGCTTTGTTGCCCCAGACTCCACGGACACACTTGGTTTGGCATAGCTACAGTATTTTGCAGTGTATTTGTGAATAATTTAATGACTCTTTATATGTTTTTCTTTTTTGCCAGCCAACTCTCTGGGGCTGGGTGAAAGGGAAATGCAGAAACTCCCCTCCCATGAGGTTTAACTTAAAGTGTGCTTCCCCCACTAATTATAAAAAAAACACCATGCAGCCTGGCTTTGTCTCTGCCACTTCTAATTTTGAAACATCTGCTTCTGCACCCCTGCATTTAACCCTCGAATCTTAACAAAGAGACGGATCACATGTTTGGATGTGTCTCACCTTTGCACATCGTTGTTAAGTTGAAGCCTTTTGAACAGAACATGGGAAGTGTAATTAGTTTTCTGCTGTAGCCTACATCAATATCAGCTGTTTCTTCATCTATGGTTGATTGTGCTGTGAATTATTCTTCCCTCTGAGGAAAATGTTAATTGACCCCAAAGCTACGCACATATTAAAACTTATAATTTTAACCCCTTGACAAATATAGGCCAACTCCGGCTTTTAATTTTAACAACTGCAGCAGTGGTGTATGTGAGCAGGGAAAATAACAGTTTTGCCTGCTTTAACAAGACCAGGGCATTGTGTATGCAGCAGTTATTGTGTAGATACTCAAGATATAGCTGTAGCTATGGCCCATGTTGTTTCTTATGAGAATTTCTTATGGAAATATCAATTATTCTCTCTGCAAAGGAAGTAATTTTAAAGGTCCTGATCTCACTTTCTCTTGACAATTGAGATTTTATCCGGGGTCATATGAAATATTAAAAATAAATTCAGAACTTGCAGGGCCTTAGGGTACAAATCTCATTTTTAACAACTGTAAGCTGCGTTGCTGTTGGCTTGGAGGAGGAGGAACACCATTGAAAAATAAATTAAATGGGGCCGAATGCAAAGATAAATAATGCAACCCGGTTGTGGAATTGCTAGCTGCAGCCCCAGAGCCAGCCCTGACTGTTCTTTCGTTGATTATCCTTGCTCAGACCTCAGTAGAGAGCTACGCGGCAGGGCTAGCGCTGCCTTGATTCCTGGGCTGAGACTGTGTTCATCCTTGGCAACAGCGCTCTGACTCAGTACCTGAGGCTGAGGAAGTACAGCTTCAGGAAAGGCTTAGCATTTCACCACCACCAGCTGCCCTCACCAGCCTCTCATTGAGGAGCAGCCACAGAGGAGGAGAAGCCAAGCTTCACTTACTAACAAAGCAAACCCGCACACCGCACAAATACTCAGCTATCAACTCAAATAAAAGTCTTGGCTGACTGACTTTATCAGAGCAGATGAGGCCTCATAGTTTGTAATAATATTGCACAATAAGAATTGCAGTCCCTGTCATGCCAGGGAGGAAATGTCCAATGGATGTTGCATGAGAAAGCAGTCAGTTGTATATTTTCAGCTCACAGTTCTTTCCTCTGTCCACAGGGCTCTTATTGGGCCATCGACACCAACCCAAAGGAGGATGCCTTGCCTACACGGCCAAAGAAGAGGCCGCGTTCTGGAGAGCGAGTGAGTCTGGAGAGAGAAACTCTCCATGTTCCCAGGAAAATATGAAGTGCTCTTCTGCTGCTTGGTTCTTTCTGTGGCTCTTGCTCTCTACTTCTGCCTTGGTTCTCTTTTTCTATTGCCCTCCTTTCTCTCCTACTTTCTCCCACTCTTCCTCTACCACATGCAGTCACACACATGCAAACGCACATACACACATTTAGTAAGACTTTTTTTAACTGCATCTCCATGCTGCTTCGTAGCCTGTCATGAAGTGGGCTCCTTATTAATAAACAATGCCCCAGGCGGCCATTACATACATTACGTTCTACACTCACTTTTTTTAACAAACATCAATTAATGCAGAGTTGTGTGCACCTGCTACTCTGAGCGGTTGCTTTTGTCTAAATTATGGATGAGTTTCGTCCAGCGTTACGCACAGCTGTACATGTTTTTAGTGAGCTGCTCTAATTGACCTGGCCCTGGGGCTTCCTGACTTAAAAGACTCTTGTCTCATCTTACCTCACAATGTGGCTCACAATGTGGCTGACCTGAGGCTATGAGAGGCAGACTCTTGCGTACATGCTAACACCAAATTTTTCTAAAAGCAGTTTTTAGACATGAACCTCAAGAATTGTTTGTTTGCATTTCATCATCTGAATATCGCAGCAGGAGAATGTCCGCCTTAGATGCCTTCACACCAACAGGAACATTTCTGGAACTTAAATGAGGGGTAGAGCATACAGGAGGCAGGACATGACGTATTCTTTCCGCTGCTAAAATCACATGTTTTTGTTTACAGCACATCAACTCCGTAGTTGGCCATCATCGCAAAAAGCTCTTGAATCTCATTGTCTTGCCAGCGTGAAATTATTGTTGTGTCTTCTGTGTCTGGCACCTCTTTTTCCATGCTGCGATTTCTATTCTTCTAGTTTTGTGTCCGTCATGTTGGAACCATCAATAGCACTCCCACTTGCTCACTGTGAATATTCTGGACCTTTTTCTCCTGTATTGTCACAGGAAAATTTCCAGAGTAACTGACTGACTCACATTTTCATTGTCACATACAGCCCCTCCAGAAAATTTCTGGACTTCAGTGCATGGCTTAAAGCAGCTTCTCACACACACACACACACACACACACACA